AAGTCATTTGGAGTGCTCCTATGGCTCGACGTGATCGTTGTATCTTAGGAAATGATTGCCGGAGAACCGTTAGCACTGATGCGGGGCAAATTCATCTTAAGGATAAAGTATCCAACACTTGCCTCGATCAAAAATCCATCATTTGTATCTTCTTTCTTCATTTTCTGATTCCTTTTATTATGATTTGATTTTCGAAAATGATTATCATTATTTATATATTTATCCTTCAAGGTTTGATCCAAAGAATTACTTGCTTTCGATCATGAATTGAAAGGGAATAATCCATATTTAGGTATTCGGATTCGATAAATTCTTATTTTGTTTTCTCAAATCCTATCTCGGTGAGTCGAAATTATATTTCGATTTCACGCAAATTAACGATATGTTTTTATGAATATATTATGCACAATTATCGATGTAATTCTCCAACACATGCATCACTACCGTCAAATCTGTCCATTTCCCGGTAACAAGTAAAAGTTACGAGATTTGAAAAACATGTTTCACATTTGATGATTAGTTATGGTAGATGATTTGAAAAATCATGACAAAATAATAATTTATAATAAAAAGATTATTGTTTTATTATATACTACACTATTAATTATTGAACATGCGAATTAAAGTGCATGTGATCACTTATAATAATATAAGTTGGGTACTTGTTTTGAAAAGTACAATGTAACCCAACTTATATTTTGATCATAAATAATTTGTTCACAACCAATGTATAAGAGTCAACACCTTGTACTGAAATATTGTAGTATTGATCGATTTACTTGGGTTTGTGATTTATCCTTATCAAAGAAATAGTTAAAAGGTGACACTAGTACATATTAAGTATAAGATCACATGTCGAGTCTAATTCTATAGCATGATCGTGCGAAAAATTAAATTTTACTTTACTACTGTGAACTTTCATCTAAATCCCTTGACATGGTTATGTATGTTTTTTCGTGATTTTGATGGTTCTTTGAATCATCAATGGCGTGATCATTTTGATTGGTTAAATATCTCTATGAGTTGGGCACTTGAAAATGAGCGAAATATAGAACATGAATTCATGTCAAGAATCATCATCTTGAAAAATGGATAGAGTGACTACTTAAGTATTTTCTGTTGTACGGTTAAAATTTGAGTTTAATGTTTAACGATAGCGAAACTTTGACATATGTGATTAGTTCATAGGATTGTTGAGGAGAATGATACTTGAGTTATTGAGAATAATTAGAAAGGCAAAATGATCATATATTCTCGTGCCTAACTATCGGATCTCGGTTGTGGATCAAATACATATACGACATGTCTGAGAAAAGTATTATAGATTTTATTGATTTTTGTGATCTTATATATTCCAGGAATTTAATTTTTTGCCTCCAGCAAAAAAAGCAAAAACTAATAATTAGATTAGATGGTCTAGGGTCGACTATACAAGATATACTTATTGGAGGTTGGATAATTTATGTTCGATTAGGTCCCTGTGGAACTTAATTATAGTAATTATAATAGTTTTGATCTTAATTGTACAATGAAGTTTCATACTTAGATATAATTAATATGAAAGTTGTAAACTTAATTATAATTATAATTAATATTCTAAAACTACACATATAATTAAATGTAAATTAATTGGTTTTGGACTTTAGTTAAAGTCATTACTTTGATTTTAATTAGAACTTTTATTTAAATGGGGAATTATTATTGTACAATGATTGCAACTATTCTATTTCTATAAATAGATATTAGATATGAAAACTAGACAGCTTATGGGATTGTGCAACAATGATAATACATAATTCCATAGTATTCAAATTTGGAGAGAAAATAATTATATTCTCATCTTATTCAATTGTCTAGTTCAAGAACTAGTTTCTTGATTTAATTAAAAGAATGTGCCTACTCACTGGTATAACATTGACTCTGAAGAATATCATAAAAGATTTGGAGGTTTGAAACATCAAGTTATTGGAATTAAAAGCTGGAAATTCGTAATTCATAATTAATTAAAGAATTAGTCATCAAATTTAGGTAAAAATTCGAATATTTTATTCTTGATTTAATATACACGTGAACATCTAAACAATCTTGTTTATTGAATTAAAGAAAATTTTAATTTCTGAGTAATTCTGTTTCCACATTCCAACAATATTTACATCAATGTTTGTCTTTTTTGACATTCTTCCACATATAATCTCCTTTGATTTTCACAAAACCATTTCACATCACTATCCAAATTGTACAACATAAGGAAAAATGTCAACCATAATACAAAGAAAGATGCACATAGTACACTTGGATTAATCCCAATTTGAAATTAACACTTCTGATTAGTGATGGAGATCTCTGTTTTAAAAATTTTTTAAAAAATCACCACTCTTTTACCAATTTGAAGAATTTAAAAAATCTTTTACCTAATAACCATGGAAAAAGCTAAATAATGTTGGAAAATTGAAATAAATTAGTTGGTTTGACCAACTTTTGACCAATTATTTAAGTGGGTCATGTTAGTTGGATAAATAATTTCTTTGGCCAAATGCTTTCTACTCTATGAATAGAATTGATATATGTATTTATTTCTCAAAGCTAATTAAGGGTGAATGAGAAATTAAAACCAAAATATGATCACTCGAAGTTAAAATAAATAAGGAATAAAAATTGGTGAAAAATTGGAAAGTACCAATCTCACATAGGAAAACTAGAAAAATGGAAACCACTTTATATAGCTCAAGTTTGAGACTTGGGTTTGGACCTCAAGGAGCACCACTAGTCTTTGAAAGGGAGGAGACCTACATGCTAGTAAATTCAACTAAAGCTCACACGCGTGCGTCGTTGTGTCCGTTCGATCGGCTCGGTTCGGCACGGCACGGGTCATGGGCTTGGGCTTGGGCTTGGCCCAATTGGTATATATATTTTTTGGTAAAATAATATTTTAATTATATTATTTTATTAATTAAATAATCTTTTTTAATTATAGTATTTATTTTTCCTTTTTCGAATTTTCTATGTGTGACACGTGGCTTCTTTTAGAAAACTGGCGATTGGTGATAGTTTTAACTGCTTATCCAAACGGGTTGTTTCTGTTCCAAGACAACTTTTCGATTGTTGTGACTTTTGAGCATAATCTTTCAATTTCTATAAATAGATCCCTAGATTCCAGATTTTGTTCATTCCAAAAATTTCTTCTACTTTCCTCTCCTGCAATATTGCCCTTTTGCTCTGCAGTGCTCCATATTTTGCATTTTAGTCCTAAATATTATTTTAGTCCTCCAATTTTTGAGAGATCAATAGATTAGTTGTATCTTAGGAGACGAGTGTTAGGGACCATCAGTATCGGTGCGGGGCATTATCGTCTTAAGAAGTAAGAGTCGAACTCTTGTCTTGACCATTTTTTGTTCTAATTTATTGTGTTAATTTTGTAAGTCGAAATTCTGCCCAAATATTTATTCACGATTTATTTATAAATTATCGCACAACATTCTCGAATTTCACTCAACAAACAACACTGCCGACGGTATCTTTTTCTTAGCCATAGTTATTTTTATTTGAACTTATTTTCAAGTATACATTCTCCTAAATGAAATATTTTTTTTCACATAAACTCACTTTTTCTCAGGTTTTAACAACACATCTTACCAAAAGTTTAGGGTGCGTTTGGTTTGTGTTTGTGTTTTCAGTTTTGAATTCATTTCTATTTTTTGTTTTGAGGGATTATTTTAAAATTGTAGAAAATACGTTTGATTTGTCATTTTGAAAAAATTGTTTCTTAAAACAAAAAGAAACTAGAAAATGCATTTTGTTTAAAAAATTTGAAAATAGTTTTATGACATTTTGAAAGAGTTTGAGAAGAGATAGTTATTTGTACTTGGGTAGGTTTTGTGAGATTTTATTAATTATTTTAATTTGAGAAATTTCTAAGTTCACTTTCCTTGTTTTGAGTTTTTTTTAGTGTTTTTCATTAAAAACGCTCAAAACATCAAAAAGTCATTTTTAGTTTTATGTTCTAAAATTTTCTTTGTTTTCGAAAACACGTTTTTGAAAATAACATATCAAGCACATTTTGAGTGTTTTAAAAAATGAAAATGGTCTCAAAATAGCAAACTAAACGCACTCTTATTTGGGAAAATTGCAAATATTTCGTGCTGGTTTTGAATTGAAGGGGTGGGGTGGGGTGGGGTGGGGACGAAGATCCATTTTTCTTCTTCTTCTCTCTCTCTCTCTTTTTGGTTTTTTATTTAAGATATTTTTTAATTGTTTAATGTGGTAAATAGAAAGGTTACCCTTTTAAAATTGATTAAAAGATGGTCAAAGTTTATTTTAATGATCAACTGACAAAATTTTTGACGAAAACTATTCAAAGGGGCTTCACATGCAACGTTTGGAAATGTTAGGGGTGACGGCTGCAACAAATGAAAGATTTGAGGAAAGTCTGCTAATGTTTCAAAAGTTTGGAGCTTCTACTGCAAGTTTTCCTATTTATTTTTAATGGATTTAAGCACTTAAATTCGTGAATATGTAAGTAATGGATATTGAATGGGATATTCAATGATTCAACTGATGTTATTTACTCACTTCCTCTTTGGTTCACTTTAAAAATCAAATTTAAATTTAAATTAAAGTCAATAATTAATATTAATCACATATCTTAAGGAATTCAGAACTTTTCAACTATGCATTTAATCAACTTTTATCAAAATTTACTAAAAATTTAATTTTATCTAAATCAAATAGCGGCCTATATCAAACTCGCCAAGACTAATACATGGAATTCCATCAGAATTCAAATTTAATCATGTCTCCATTATACAACATATCACACATTTGATTCTACTGTTGGTGTACGTTAACATAGCTCAAATGCAATCAACAAACTCAAAATCCACTTTCTATTACCTAATCAAATTACATATACTATATGTGACATGCAATGGAACCTAATTGAACGATAAGATTCGATCAAGAATTCGTTGATTTCGACATAAAAATATCGAGAAAATGATAATAAAAAATAAAAGGACCAAACCAATATGTAATTTAGAGCATCGATCAAAGGCAGGAGTAACACATAAGAACCCAAAAACAAAAAACAAAAAAAAAAAAAAAAAAAAAAAAAAAAAATAATAATAATAATAATTTGAGGCGAAGCAACTAAAAATGAAAATCTATCGAGTCGTCTAGTCCTCGAACTGATGCGCTAATCTTTCTATCAAGCCCAACCCCAAGCCTTGTGATACTTGATTATCCACGCGATCTTCCTTCGCTCGATTTTGGGTGATGATATTACTCCATAAATTTATATACCTAATATTCATATGCATCATCACTGTGGCTTTTTATTTAACATAGATATAAAATCATTAATATTTGTATCAGAAGTACCACCCTCAGATACTGCCTCCTTAGCCAAATCCTTCCATTTACTAGCAGATTTCTTCATCTCCTTTCCCTTTTCCCCCTCCATTACTTCCCTTAAACAACCCTCAATTTCTTCTCTCCCAACAATCCCATTTTCATCAACTTTCACCCTTAAGCCCACATTCCAAACATCCTCCACAAGCTTAGCATTCGTCGTTTGATCCGTCCATTGTGGCATAACCACCATTGGCACCCCCATACTCAATGCCTCAATTGTCGAATTCCATCCCCCATGTGAAAAAAAACACCCCAAGGCTTTGTTTGACAGTACCTTTAGCTGTGGACTCCAAGTAACGAGCAAACCTTTATCGTCTTCGACAAAATTTTTAGGGAGTTTTTCTTGGTCAGAAGCCTTGGCAACCCATAAGAAGTTGAAATTGCTATTTTTTAAGCCCATTGCAATTTCTTCTATTTGCTTTTCCGAGATAGAGACCATGCTACCAAATGCTATGTATATGACGGATCCGGCCGGCTTAGTGTCAAGCCAATTAATGCAGTTTGACGAAAGATCTAATTCGAAGAGGTTGAGCTCATAATTGTTGTCATTTTCGACTCGATTATCCAGATAGAAAGATGGAATTGTTGGTCCTATTGTTAACATCGGACACACTTCTTCCATTGCATCGATCGCCTGCCAAAACGAGACATTTGTTACAGTTCAACAAATTAAGCAATGAAAAAAAGGACTTCAGGCCATGTTCTGTGTTAGTATACTACACTTTACCAAACGAGTCATAAAAAATGAATTAATAACCATTCTTAGAATAACAACTTACTTTTTCCTCTAACTTGTAATACGAATTAACAAGCAAAAAATCAGCCTTGTCAACATTTGAAAATTGGTTTAACACCAAGTGGAAGTAACCTGGATAAGATCCATATACATAAATGAATGATGGCATATCAGGCAGATGAAGGGGTGGAAATCCAGGAATCTCGACTGGCAGCGACGAAACAGGCAGTGTCAACAACCCATGATGCACATAATAGTACACATAATTAACAGCACAAGCCTGTGTGAAGAAACAGGCTCCAAGAATTCCAAACTCTTTGGCCACATCCAAAGCCCAAGGCAACATTGAATCATAAACAATACAATCAATAGGATGGTTAGATTTTTGGTACTTCTGAATGAGTTCTGCCACTGTTTTGGAGCCTCTTTTTTCCAAACGCGCTAGATATTTGTCGACATCACCAGCTTGCGTGAAACCACCTTCATCGTAACCGTCAGAAAATGTGTCGATAGCCACGGTGTCGGATTTCGGGCTTGTAGATTTGGAAATATAGTTGGTGACTGCTAAAGTGGCTTTTGTTCCTTTGGAGACTAACTTCTTGCAGAATTGGCACATGGGATTTACATGGCCTTGGCTTGGGTAAGGAAGTGCCAAAACATGAACCCCATAGGCCTTGCTTTGCTTTTCCATTATCAATTGCAGGCTTTGAACTCGATCTTGAGGCTTTTACGTGTTTATATATCCTTATCAGTAATATCTATCTATACATATGCATACAGAATTGCTGACGATTATTACATTTTAATCACACAATTTGGAATGTGTTGGTTATTTTAGTAAGTGATGCCCAGATAATCCCCACACAATGATGAAAAATTGAGGCCGTTCATTTTTATATGCTATAGGGAAAAAATCATAAATTCTGTATTAAGTATGGAGACTTCAAAAACTAAGTCTTAAATTTATAAAATGCAAAAATCAGGTTTATTAGTTAATTAATTAAAAATATTTATTAATGAAATATATTAAGGTCACAATTTTACGATTCATGATCACAGATACGTTTATTAAAGGTCACAGATTTATTTGGTGACAAATTATTTCGAGATCACAAATAAAAATTTTGTACGTCACAGATTATTTCGAAATCACAATTAATTGGTTGCAGATCAGAAAAATTACTTTTAAGTCACAAATTTCAGAATTTTTAGGTCACAATTATATTGTGGGCCACAAATTAGCAAATTGTTGGTCACATACACTAAACATCCCACCTCGATCCCCGTTGACGACCAATACTAAGGTCACAAATTGTGACCACTGCTAACAATTTGTGACCACCCCTCTCCACTACCTCCTCCAGTCGCACAATAGCCAACACCATCGCCACCACCACCTCTCAACAAAAACAAACCAATACACATCACCAAAATCGCCATCATGACGGCACCAACGGAACAAAGTATATAATTAGTCACAACCACTACTAGCACCATTGAAACAATGCATCTACCATCACTGTAGAAACATCGCCTCTGGTACCCTCACCACCAACAATTCAACCACGCCACCGACACTATCACACCACAACCACAATCCCCGCCCAAAAAATCCTCCACCCCAAAACCACGGCTCAGCACCGATGTGCACGGTGCTCAAATCATCGCTCCGATCTAAAAATCGTCACTTAGATTAGGGCACACCAACAAATTCAACATCGTGCGACGATTCTCTCCGGTGGTGACGCTGCTGCATAGGTGTTTCGACTCTGGCGATAACATCGCTGCCAGCGTCGCTACGTTTAGAGAGGAGAGATTGGGGAGAAAGGAGTGTGCAGTGCTCAAATCATCTGGTCGATCTGAAAAGCTTCGATCAAATCAGGGCATACCAACAAATACACATTCGACACCGCTACTCACGACGGTTCTCTCTGGTAGTGGCGTTGCCGTTCAGGTGGTTCGACTTCGACGGTAACACCTCTGCAGTCGAAGACTCTCTTCCAAGGGCGGCACTCCTACTGTTAAGTGAAAAGAGTGAAAGAGTGAGGGGAAATAATTTAGGTTTTGTAGTGGTATTAGTGGATAAATTGAATTAATACCTGAGTTTTGGTTAAATAAACCTTGCACCTAAATTTTGAATTAGAAAATTTAAGCACCTACTTTTTTGTAATTTCCTCTATGCTATAAGCCCAGGATTGAAGAATATTAATAAATCCAAACCACAATTGATGTAGCCCAATCCTGTTGGGTATTTGGAGGAAATCAGTCAATTGGGCTAGGTGCTCAATATCCAATTTTAAAGATAATTTGAAAAAGGGATTTCTATCCCTTTTCTCACGGGAAGGTAGATGGTTGCACTATCCTTATCCTTGGTAACAAATTTCAACTTTCTTGAACTCTATCTTGCCAAAAAAATAAATAAATAAATAAATCTAGAAAATTTGATTGTCCCTTGCCTATAAATTGGAGTCTTTTGCCCTCACTTTACTAACATAAAAACCGTCCCTTGCTATGTGCTTTTAAACCCAGTTTCTGCCTTTGTGTGCCTTTATCTCCGTGACTGCAAGTTTCCAATTTGGTGCTACTTTTGTGGTGTTGTATTGACTTTTCTGAGCCGAATAAAAAGGGAAATTCATTGTTCTTCATTCTTCAAATTTAGTTTTGATTTCCTTTTTCTTTTTCAAGTTAATTCCATAACTCACATATTTGATTTGTTCAATTGTAGGTGGAATTAGCATCAACAGAATGAATAATGCGGCTTTCATGCTCGTCTAATTCCGCAAAAATTGGATAATTTTGGAGTTCTTGATAAAAACAAATGCTGCACGAATATTGACTTTTGGATCTAGAGCATTACGTTCTCTTGATTCTAATTAACAACGAAGAATTAGGTAAATGGAGTCAATTTTAATAATTAAACCATGTTTAAAATTCATGAATTGTATTTATTGTTTCGCAAGGAACAAGCACAATGTGAGTATAGGTCTTTAGATTTGGAATACCTTGATTGTCAATGAACATTAGATAAAAATTGTGATGAGTGGATTGAAGGATCGCAGTCATACTTTCGCATGATATGAATTGACACTATAGGTTCTCTCTTGTTAATTCAAATTCTGTGTTTTATATAACTTTATAATATTCGATCACATGTTTATAGCTTTCGAGTTGCATTTGCTGTTTGGTAAGGAAAACAATGTGAATTTATTCGAGTTATAACTTGATCAAATGTCGAAGTTGACTAGTAAGTTTATATATAATCAATGGCCCAAGGCACAACTCAATTTCATTAGGAGTAGGATATTTACATTCTTCCATTTTTACTATTTTCTCTACTTACTTTCGACTTGATTATGAAGAGAAAATGGAGAACCAACACCGACATTTCCAGTACCGAAGTGCTCTACCACCGCCGTCTATGGAGAAGGAAAATCTCAGGTATCATAAGTTACAATTGCGAAAATTGTTGGAATTAAATAGTTTATATGTGTGAACTATAGTAAGTCTCCAAATGGTGTAATGACTTGTTGCAACTTTTTAAATGGAATTGGTATATATTGAAGAGCCATGTATATTTAAATAGGGTGCAATATGAACCACTAGATAGTGTCTCATTATGAAATGATGTGAGCGAATAGTCTAGATTGAATCTTATCAAAATGTACAACAATTGAGAATAGACACGTTGAAATATTTAAATTGAATCCATTTCACTCCATTTTTTCGGTCCAGTACCAATTTAAATGTATTGGTTTCTCTCTTCTTTTCTTCAAACATACTACGTTCTTATTATTTCGAGTTTTTTGAGTCTTCATAACTTCAAAATAATTCCAGTGAAGAAGAGTACGGCCAAACTCGAAATTGCTAGCCAAGTTTTATACGATGTTGTATTTTGTTTGTAGAGAAGTTGTATCTTTGGAAACAGGTGTCTTGAAATCATGTTAAGTGTTAACCCAAGTGCAAAGGACAAAACTTGTCTCCATGAGATTGCTTATCTCGTTTCAATTTAATCTCCATCTACATTTTTCTTTTCCTTCTTTAGATCGTCTGCAATTCTGACCAAAGGAGGTTGGCTTGCCTTGCGAGAGTTTGGAATTAAGTCACACTACCACAATCGAAATTAAATTTTAATTCTCTAAACCCAATCGCTGTATTTATTTACATGCGATGTTGGATAAGAAATCGTTACCTTTGAAAAACGAACTTGAAGGGTTTTGTTTTTCTCTTGCACGATCACTAACACCGCTTCCTAGTTCTCAATTTATCATGGTTTTTCAATCATCTAGCCTTTAACAATAATTCAAATGGGATAGATTTGAAGACAAAAATTTATACTACACGGTATAGAGGAGCTGAGCATTTTTTTGCTTTCTAAGTTTTTTACATAATTTTTAGAAAAAAATCGAACTAAACTTGTTATATTTTATATCAACCCTAGACATGTATATATTGGTTTTCCAAACTCTGATCCTCTTATAATAAGGAAAGAGCTCATATATTTTAATAAGCCCAAAATTAGTTAACCCAGATAATTAATTTTGTTCAACTAATAATTACATCAATTAACTAATTAAAAACATCACACATTTAACAATAAATTAATTTACCAATTTTGTCTTTCACGTCTCTCCCCTATTGAGTGATTCATGATCACGATAACAAATTATGTGAATTCTATTTATCAATTAATTTCATCAATTATTTAGTCCACATTTGTTTGTCCAAGATTGACATGTAATAGTATGTCGACGCAACCCATGTAACGAAAAATGTCATGAGGTATGACAAGATCTTTAATATCTAGTTAGCGTGAAATATAGGTATTTTATAAATGAAAAACGTTCCTCTTACACACCGATTGAACAAGTATTTTTGACAAATAATCGTGACCTTTAGATGAAGCAAGTCCAACGATTAGTATTTCATGGATCTCAAGTGGTTATAACTAATTTTTCTATGATCCTAGTGAAATGCATACTGACCGTTCAATTTGTTTAAATCTAAAAGTCATGATTATTTGTCAAAAATACTTGTCAAATTCATGTATAGGAGGAACGCTCCCTTTTATAAATTATATCCTAATGGACTAGGGGATATGGAATTAGCATCAATCACATTTTAGCATTTATATTCGGAAACCTATGGAAATCCCCTAAATAGCAAGGGCATTTTGAGAAATCATTGGCCATGTCTGTGCGCACTTTATTGCCAAAATTAAGTGATTTTCTGACCGTTGATACTCCCTACGGCCACATTTCCACCTTCTACTGATATGAGAATCAAATAGACTGACACCCATGTCAGTTAGTTTTTCCCCTTTCTACCCCAACAATTAACATGCCAAACCAACCCTCATTTCTCTTTCTTCTATGAAATCAAAAAGCAAGAGACGCTCAGTTTGCACTCCTCCACTGGACGAAGCTGCTGACACCACTCCGCCACTGGATGAAGCTGCCGACACTACTTGCTCTCCGACGGCAGCAATATCTGCTTCATTCGTTGTTCGATAGTGAGAAAATAATCTTCCGATAGCCAGCAACAGTTTCTGTAACAACCCGGTTGCCCCCACACTGCTCTAACGACTGTAGCGACGGGTTGATGGCGCCCCTGCCAACAGCTTCAACTCCCAATATGCCGTGACGACGTTCGCCTTCTTTGGCCACCGATACAAGCGACTCTACTATCACAATCGACGTCCCCGTAGATCTCCATTCCCGTGTAACATCGTAGGTAAGCATCTGTGTCTTCGATTTCTACT